GTATTTCAAGATGACACTAGTGGTTGAACTTGGTTCTTTTGTGGATATGATTCCAGCTGTGTTTGGAGAATTTCCATTGTTCCTGTTATTTGAATTATTATTCGGTAGCTGATGACATCTGGAAGTTTTATAATGCTAGTGTTATAGTGATTCTAACTACAGCAAGATGTGTACGTTCATACACAGTGAGGTGGCTTTCTTCGGATAGTAGTATGAAAAACAATTGTTAGATCAATAAATTAAAAGAAGGCTTCGCCGAAATTTTTCATTCAGTTGTCTCATTGTTTTCCATTTGAAACACTCGATTTGTATGTGTTGTGAAGTAAGGCAGAGTAACACATACAAACGTCACAGGAAACATTTCTCATTTTTTTATTAATTAAAATTATACGAAATAATTCAAAAATAATTCAATCAGAGTCATTTTTCAGATGTTTCGCTTGTATACGTAGCAGAAACCCTATGTTAAATTCGACTGTGAGTGTCAAATAACGTCATACGAACTTAAATCAGCTATGCTGTCATGTTTCGCAAGTCATTTGATACTGTCTGAATTAAAAATTTGAAATTTTTTAAATTTGCTTATCAGGCACATGGGAAATTTAGGGACAAAATTTTACCAGGGTATTTCGATATTACGCGTTAATTTTACCCAGCTCTGACTTTACCATTAAGATATTTTCAGGTCAGTTGTTTAATTAACGAGATCCATAAGAGATCAGAAATTTGCAACATGTTGTTCAGTGTACATTTTATTCCCTGGTATTCAGTCATAATTAAGTCACAGTATATGTTATCTTTTTAGTATTAGTAGAGAACCCAGTCATTGTGAACCAAGTTAGGGGTTTTAATACTAAACATCTTTTCAATTCTGTCTCAGTACCATGCCTAAGACAGCACAAGAAGCGCAGAAACCCACTGAAATCTTATACAAGATGACCGTTAGATCAGAGACACCAAGCGAAAACAACAATTTTACGACCACGTGTCAATTAAATTCTCACGTCTAAGTCTGATAATGCAATGATATTGCTAATCAGTAACATTTTGCAGCTACACTGGTTTTCTGTTGAGCGCTTCACCGATGAAGTGTCGGTTTTATTTAGGTACTAGAATTCGTGATGAATGTACTATTTAACAACACTACTGTGACACGAAAGATAAGCACAGGAAAATGTTCTGCTGTAAAATCTTTACATTCCTTCTGTCAAATAACATAGAGACTGAATACTTTCAAATTTAATATGTGTGACAGCTGCCTCTAGGTATTTTGAAAGTACATATTTAAATGTGATGTCCATCTGAGCATACTGACAGCCAAGATGATCAATGTGATAACTCGTCAATAGGTAGGTCAGGATATGTTAAAGTTGATTATTCCAGAAAACATCTTTTATCCTGGAGAGAATTGCTTTTGCTGGTTAAAAATGATTATAACCACTCTGTGAAAAATATTAAAATGCACACTGACTCACTATTAGATGCTTTAATTAGTTTTAATGGGAAAAATCAAAATATGTGAGTGAATTTGGTTGGTGAAAAAAGATGTGCATAACTTCTATTGCTCAATTAGTGATTTAAAACGAAAAATGAGTGTCTGCAAGAAATAATGCAATCCGCATTCAGAACTTTCACGCACTTATCTATAAGCTTTATTACAGCAGTACAGATTAAAATCTTCACTAAGAATATTCCAGATTTATTATTAATCAGTGGAAAAAGCTGAAGTGTTAGTTCATAAAAATCTCCCATGCCTTTTCATATGAACATAAGCTGAGTGCTGCATCCACTTGTATTAAGTTAATAATTTAAAAGCAGTCAGTAGAGAAGCTTTTTCACAACTTACCGTCGACTATTTGTGATGTGTATTTCTGCTGCCTACAAGTAGACTACAAAATATTCTATACAACAAATTACTGCTGATTTTATGGGATGACTGTAAGAAGAAGAGTAGAGCTGAGTGATTTGTAGAAGAAAAAATAACTTCACTCATTCGGAATAATTCAGTCTCATCACAAAGGTTAATTTGCACGTAACTAGAGGGGCTAAAATTGTCTCATGCAAAAATTTTAAGCTAAGTATTATTATTTATTGACAAACAAGACTCCGGAAAAAAAGTATGTAGAATTAAATTCACGGACTTGTTTCAAACTAAGGAGAAACTTTTCCGAATCTCATGGTTTTGGTTGAATCGGTAAAAAATCTTTGTTTGGTTGAAATATAAAAATTTCCGTCTAATCCAATATTATTTTACACAATATTTCTCCGTCTCAGGATAGTTTTCCCCACTCATTTGGGCAAGTGGCAACTTAAATACGATATTTCACACAGTTCTCATTCTGAGTGTTCTTGATAACAAGATATCCAAACTAGTGTATGGTTAAGAGACATTTTTCAATGAACATAAGCCAAAGCAGAAGAAACGTTTTAGTGAATTGTATACCCAAAGAATTGAGAGTAGATAATCAAAGCAAAAAATAATGACAGCTTTATTCCACATAGGCTTTTGGTGCGAAAATAGAGTTTTCAGCATGTAGTACAGTATTGCATCTAATCTCCCTATTCCAACGGCGATGGTTAAAACAGGGCATTTGCACTGATAATATTGTCCAATGATAATATAAATATAAAATTTAAATTAAAATATTAACAGTAATGTAACAGTTAAAGAATAAAATGCACGTTTACTTAGTGTTCCTCAGTGGGTTAGTAGTGTCATGCCATACACTTTTCTCATCATATAAAATGTGTGACGAACAAGGTATTGTAGAGTTGTTATAGTAATCATCCGAGCATAGAGTTTTCTATAGTTTCTTTTAGTTCTACCTGATGAGCTGCAAAGAGACAGTCTCTTACAGAAAGGATGCTCAGAGTCATATTCTCTAATTTCTTGTATGAGTCTTCATTTCTATCTACAGCAGTATTAACGAATTGCTTCAGCGACACTCCACTCACCCTACTGACAGGTTGAGTGCTTTTTGTAGTGTGAAAATTCTTTCTTAAGTATCAATAGTGTAAGTGTAAAACTTGGGCAGTGTGGTAGAATGTAATTCTATATCAGATAAGTTTATTTTTAAATATCACACAGAAATGCAGTATTAACAACTGAATGACATTTCGAGCACGATTTACTGCTCATAATTGTATCTTTCTTAAGTGGCTAAGGAAGAACTAAGGGGAAACAATATGGAAGGATAAGAGGAACACAAGGATTAGCAAGCTTAGGAAGTAGATTCTGAGTGATATCATATCCTCCTAACTTCCATGCGTCGAACGTTAAGTGAAATATCTTTCTAGAAACTAACACGATATGAGAAGACCAGGAATGATCACAAGAAATGTACAGTCCAAGGTATTTAACATTTGATTTAGTCTCAATTTCAGTGCCACCTATGGCATAGAATCATAGGAGCAAACCAGTTCATGTAACTCTCTCTTGGATCTGAAGGTGCAATAAAGAACTTGAAATTTAGATCGATTTAGCTTAAGACTATTTGTCAGGGATCGTAGACTAATTTCTCATAAAAAGTTACTAATTTTGGAATAATCTGATTGAAAAGTAACTGACATAGAAACAGTCAGATCATTGGCATACTTAAAAAACTGGCTGCATCAGATTAGAAGTCATATTAGAACCACAACAGAAAAGGAGAAAGAACATCTTAATATATGTGTAAAACTTGGGCACTGTGGTAGTAGGTAATTCCATATTAGTTCGTTTATTAGATATATCACACAGTGAAACAGTATCATTTACTGGATGACGTTTCGAACAAAATTTATTGTTCATAATCATATCAATTGTTATGATATGATTATGAACAATAAATTTTGTTCGAAACGTCATCCAGTAAATGATACTGTTTCACTGTGTGATATATCTGATAAACAAACTAATAGAGAAAGAACATCACCTTGAGGAACACCAGTTAGAGTAAGTAAAGCAGTGCAGAACTTCTCATTATACACAGCGAACTGCTTCCTATCAGAAAAGTAAGAATGTATTCATCTTTTAATCCAGTATGTCTCTTGTGTCCCAACAAGCCTATTTAACGACAGAGGCCTAGGTACAGAGTCAAAGGCAGATGTGTAATCAAAGAAGTCACACCGAAGATATTTGGCACCTCTGTCTAAATTAGGGATAATATTATGATATAAGACAATAGCAGCATCTAAAGTACACCTATTAAGTGTATTGATGAATATTTTAGGGTCACTAAAAGCCTTCAGTGATGGCTGAAGGTTAATTAAGAGCAGTTTTTCCATTATTTTTCCCACTTTTCCAAATAGTTTGACTGTTCTGTTTTTTCATTACCATCAAGTTACGTAACTTGGGGGATAATAGCTACATTTCCGGTGAATTTGTCTGTCTTTTTATTGTTTTATACAAGATTTGTGCTATCTGGTTCTTAACACTGGATGTAAGATAAATTTTGACATAGAATACAGAGAATTCTGTGGAACCTATGGTAAATAAATGTATTACCTTTCACTATTCTAGGTATATGTTGATTATTTTTCGCTAAATTGACCAAGACAACACTATTGCATTAATATGTTGTTGTAGACGTTCTGTCAAAATATCGAATGATAAGAATCACGAAGTGATGCAATTCAGAGGTTGAAAAGTGCCCAAAGAAGTAAGTTTATTTTCTTTTTCACATGATCAAGAACATCTAGATGTCATTCCGGAGGACGCTGTAAAAAACATTGCCAATATGAATTATTTTAAATCACAGCATTAAGATCAGGTGACAGAGAATTCATTTTAGGAAGAAAAACACCAACTCACATGAAAAATAAAATTTATCAACTATCGCATATATAAACCATAAACAGAGCGTTTGGTATAGATTTTCAGAGGTACTTAGACTTCATATTTTCAAATGTCACCTTGACATTTAAATTAAGTTAATCACCAGTATTAGAAGATTTTAATGTAAAATAAGGGTGAATGAATTGAATGATTTAAATATTAAACTGCACAAATTCCAACTTACTTCTATACGAGATAAAATCAACGTGGTAGGCGATTCATCTACAAGAAGAGAAATAATGAAAAAGAATTAGACATTTATGGTCTCTACGGTAAAATGAATTTAACATGGTTTTGTAGAAATGATAAAGAAAATTGTACTACGAAAATACAGAATGCACATTGATCGCTACGGGGACAACTTGTGTACATTTTAAGAAGGGAGAACAGTTCAAACTAGTCTATCAAGTGCAGGTTTTCAGAATTTCTTTTTTAAGATGTTATTAGTACATTTACTCAAATTCTGAAACAAAATAAGCGTATACTTATATTTTTGATTTATGTAAATTGATTCATGAATGGCATTATAAGAGAAGGAGAGTAGCTGTGAATAAATGCATATGAATACTTGACATTTCAGATTACGTCTATTCAAATTTACTTCTCCTATCTATACCATTAATGAGTCTATATAGACAACCGAGTTATAAAACTAACCGAATATTTTATTTTTACTCATGATGAGTCTACATGGTTTCACGCAACAAATCCCTTTTATAACATTAAAGATAAACTAGAATCGGTTAGCCTACATTGCAAAGGATTGTTAATATTGTCCGGTAGAATCTGACTCAACCCATCACTTAAGACATACCAATATTTAATATACTATGCCTGTGTTTTAAACAGAAAACCGAGTCGTTTTATTTACTTAACTATTACTTGTGTAACTTATGACTGTTTAATTTAGACCTAAGTAAGGAAAACTAACTGCGTAACGGAATGTACAACCTTATATTCTATGGATTATTCTGAGAGTACTGCATTATCAGGTCTGAGTTATTGTATTTTAAAAAAGGCCATTTACTAGGCAGATATATTTGTATCCATCAAATATTATACATTTCAAACGGATAGTGAAATTATTCGGTTAAAAATGGTTATTCCCCCCCACAAGGACTAATATACATCAGATGAGTTTGACAGTCTTTTACTACTGAATACCATTACCAGTGAAATACTTTTTATTTAACAAAAAAAATTAAATTCAAAACTGAATAGTGTATTCCTCAGTTTTCAGTATGATAGGGTCCTTTAATGTTTGTCTTTGGTAACATGAATGTCTTCTTCCACTGCAATCTTAATAAATACTTACAGCATTCGCAATTTTTATTTAGTTAATTAAATTTCAAGAAGTTATATAGTCATTTGGCTGATGGAGTAAAACCGTAAATGTTAAGCAAAAGAAATTAAGGAAAATTTCAACCGTCATTTGTGATCTGCAAGTAGAAACTAAGGGAAACTAAACCTGCTTTTTCAGTGAAGCTACATTTAGTAGATAAAAGTTTAGCATAGTGAAAAAAATTAGGGTTCAAAAGGCGGGAGCTATTTGTAAGATGATGCTATCGTTGTTTTTCGCCTCATTTATTGTGTAGTTGCTTTACATATGTCAGTTCAGCATCTATTGTTAACTGAACGTTTCAGTAAAGTGATCTCTTCTTGTAGACAATTATCTGTAACTTGAACAAATTTCACAGAATCTGGTATAATTCTGATTGTGTACAGTGGTCATATGCGTATGGCACTAAACGACTAAGTATTCCACATCACGAATATCAACAAAACGGTCATCACCCTTGAAATTCAACTGAGAAAACGGCAACTTTGATCATATTTACTACACAATACAATTTTTCACAGCAGGTTCATACATTGAAAAATATTAAGTTGAGCAAGCCCCATTCATATATTCGGTTTGAGATGAAATCTAGTTTCTAAATGATTTATAAACCGTCAAGTGTTAATTTGAATTATATTTGTGCACAGCCGTGAGAGGAAAACTAAAATTTTTCATCTAGACTTACGACGCATTGTCATTGTCTTTCCAAAGCGATGAACGAATACATGAACTAACGGTTTATTATCATGCAATCATGGAAAATAGAACATCCTGGCAAAAAAATGAACTTTATGTACTGAAAATACAGTAGATATCAGAAGTAAAATGAAGTCATGAAAATATGGGCTGCAGACGTTCATCAACAACTGACTTATCTGACTGGATAGTGAAAATCAGATGGCCAGACAGAAACATAAGTAGCTGAGAATTCCGGCAGTCAACGAACCAGTCAAGGAACTTTTGTTCAACAAATATGTGTTGGGAAATGAAGTTTGATTTGGCATAAGCTGATGAGACTGTCGAGCGACATCACACGCCAGACTCTCGAATGTAACTGGAGTGAGAAGAGTTGGGTCAAGGGTCCGAGAATGACACAAAGAAGATCATGAGAGGAAGAAATTAAACCCTATAATCAAACTTGAAGCCTGTAGGAGATGATAGCAGACAGCAGAAGCAAATGAAGACGTAGGTATGAAGCCCTATATCTCACTGGGAATAGAAGGACTGAATAATAAAATTAACATTAATAAAAGCAAGTAACCTCTCTTACTTCTCTCGAGACGAATGCCAGTGGAAAAAGTGTACCTGCGGAAATGTTCATGGCTAACAATATATTTTAAAAATAAGTTTTGTAGTACGATTCGTAAAATATGACTATCTCATCGTTAAATTTGGTCTACAGGAGTAATTCACCAAATGGTGACCTAATTAAGTGTTAAGTCCCAGGTTTGTGTTTAGTCTTCTAGATACGACTGATATAAGATGCTGAGTATATTTAATCTCAGGAATTTCTTGGCCCGTACGTATCTCATCATCCTAAGCGGTTGAACCGATCAACTTACTAAAGAACATGTCATCTGTTTCTTGCGAACTGTTTTTGGTAGAAGCACAAACTATTTTCTTTTGAAAACGCTGTTTTAAACCGTCTCAGAAAAGTAAAGTTGCATTGATATCCTTTTTGCGAAAATTGACAAATCATTAAAGCCGAAATATCCAATTGCATAACATAGATATATTGATATGGCTGTTATTTTGTACTGAAATAGATCTCAGACATATATATACATGGACCTCCTAGTTGTGGCTGAATTGGAAATTTTTTTCAGTCGTTCGGAAGTGTACCAACAATAATTTTAGGCTACTCACATAAATTTAAGCTGTATATATATATGATTGTCTCAAAACGATGTCACTAAAATCATGGAATAGATTAGCAGATTTTATTGGTATTTATCATTTAAAAAATCCGACAAGTTTACAGTTTGTTCTCTTAAATTCTTGAATATTTACGAGCATCCAACTTTACCAATTCGATCCTTGCTATTTTCACTGTAAAAATAATGTTAGATAAGATGTCTTTCAAACTGTCCAAGACAATGTGTAAAAAGGCAGCATCAGCCTTGAACATAGTTATGATTAAAAAAGTCTGTATACTTCAAACTGTAGGAATTTGAAGTCGCTTCTGTAGCTTCATTGATCTAGGGTGATTGGTGACAGATGCTTGTTTTCCACAACAGATCACATGTAAAAATAGTTTTAGCCGCTATGGTTTAATGGTTCTGAACCAAACTTATGTTTAGGATTTCGTTTCACAGAATTGTCGTTCAAAGATATGGATCTTTAAACCGAAACAACATAAAGTGTCAGGGATTGCTTTTTGATGCACCACGATGGATTCTGCTCATCACAGTGAGACTAATAAAACTGAATTTGTAATTAGCATGTTATGTAGTGAATACCAAAAAAATAACCTTGTGTTTTTCAATAGTCAGTATCCTCAAATCTAGGACTTTGTAAGACCAAATAATTATAAACTGTATAATTAATAAAATAATGGGAACACCCATCATCTTCGATGTTTGAGAGGAGAGGGTGGGAGTGAAAAGAAATGGTAAAATTACTGCGTAAACAACAATTAAGTAAATTGAAAAATTAATAATAAGTCCAGTTCATCGGGTTGTTATCAAAAAATTGTGACTCGATAAAAACATCAAAACAAAGTAGAGAAGTATAGTTACCAGAGTTGTATGCAATTTATCAGATTATCTTTATGCAGAGATTAGGTTGGACCTCTGGGATGCGAAGTATCCATTGTTGCCTACAGTTGTGATTACTCCTCGATTATTATTTATTTAATATTGTTTCTTTTTTTTACCTTTGATTTGATGTTAGTCAGATTTCATAAAACTAACAGACAAGTCTGGTTTCCTTGCTAAGCAGTCATCTGCATGTGCTATTCAACAAACACCTTCCATTCGGATGTTTATGTGTATATGTGTGCATATATTATTTCATAGGTAAATTTATGACTGGTGGGCAGTTTAATCGAAAATCAACTCACATTTCAAATAAAAAGTAATAATACTCTGACTAGACAAAATCTGACGAAATTGGAGCCGATAGACAGTTATACTACACAGATTAATAGTCAAGTTTATGTTCTAACATAATCATTATGAATGAGTCATATTTCTGGAATTAAGAAAATCAATCCTACTTAAATTTTTCTTAGAAAAATAAAATATGAAACGAGAATTGCCTAGAAAGTGAGTAATCAGAAAGAAACGCCCGAGTGTTATTGCGACTATATTTAGACGGAATAAACCAGTCGGTAGTTTTTGGAAAATATGGATTAACAAGTGTTTTGTAAATCAATAACCGCTAAATATGTTTTAAAACCACTTTTGTTCTGAAAATGTGAAGAATATTCCTTTTTTTCGAAGTTTGATGATGAGAAGTGATTCTAAACTGTGTCAGATTGATATGGAGATGACAATAAATATTGTCAGAAATGTTGTTAAATAGATGGATGGGATAACAATAGATGGGATAACATTTTGTTGCACAGTTTAATTCTACAGCACAAACTACTAACACATTAGAGAATCCTGACGTGTGCGTCGGTGGCACAGTGGTTAGGACTCTCGCCGACCATGCACATGGTCCGGGATTCGATCCCCTGCCGACGCATGCAAAATTTGGGCTACCAATATCCATGCTGAAAATGCCATACTTGTACTGAAAATACGGTGTGGCACCAAGCTGTAATCAAAAAAATAAATAAATAAAATACACTTAAAACAAGAGAATATTTTGTACAAACTCACTTAATATTTTCTTATTAGTTGTTTCTGTCTAAACAAGTGCGTGTACTTTCATGGCA